AATTAGTATAACTATCCATCAAACAATTTCTTAAATGATATGAAGTATCATTTATCAGATTGAAGAATATATCTAATGAAAATAAAAACCGAAGGATAATTCTTTCCTAATAGAAATAAAATAAAAATGATAGAATAACAATTTTTCGATAATTTTTTTATAAAACTTTATTTTCGAGAGAATTCGATTAAAATACGTATAAAAGGAAGGGAAATTCGTTCGAATCTATTTCTTTCCTTCTTAATTATTCTATTTGAATTTATAAATTATGGCTTGAATTAAAATTTATTTAATTAAACTATAAATTCTCTGTTTCATTTCAAGTAGATACGTAATCAAGAGATAATCCAGATGATCGATATCCAAGTGTCCTTAAAATTTCATAGTCCTCAAATTTCAGTTGACTTTTTCGAAAACGTTGTATTGGAAATCATCGTTCTACATTTTCGATATATCGTTATTTCAATTTGAAATATAAATTTTAAAGAAGATATTTTTCAAAATTTATATTTTTGAAAATACTAAATACATTTATTAATTATACATATATAATTAATAATTAATTATTGTAACTCTTGTAAATAAAAACGTAACGTAAACATAATTGCGATTTTTTGAATTATGCCAATATATCAAATCAGCGAGGAACCATCTCGATTTTCGAATTAAAATTTTCAGTATCATAAATATATTCATAAATATATTTATTTATTCAAACGAAAATTCATCATGGCGGATTTCTAATTTAAACATTCTAACGTAAATCAATCTCTTTTATTATGCATATGTTTTTTTTTTTTATTACTTTCCGTTAATTCTTCGTTTCCCTCGTTTTTCAAAAAAAAAACGTTTTCATTTTCCCACCGAGCTCCTCATTTGTATTCGGAATACATTATTGTATCCTATTTACATTTGCAAGGATTAAAATCTAATTAAACTCGGAACGGAGCGGAAGGAAATTAATTTTTTTTTAATAATTATACGCGTCCGATCAAAGGACAACGACTATTAACCGATCGAAAGGAGATAAGATATCGTTTCTCACGCTCTCGTTCCCTTTTTCGAATCGTCCTGAAACCGATATCAGGCCCACGTTTCTCGATCGAAAAGAAAAACTCGATCCTTCCACTTGTAATCCTTCCTCTTCTCGTTGAGTCGCGCGGACGTTCGCGGATTGGATTGGATTTACGGCCAACTTGTATACGAGTGTACATCGGTGGCTTTATAATCATTACACTCCACCCGCCCCATTTATTACCCGATCCCGCCGGAAGTTTAGACGTTTAGGCGCGCAGGCGCAGAAGAAGAGCGCAACAAGAGGGTTTCGATCTCCTCTTTTCTTTTTTTTTCGTTCGACGTTTACACGGATGCGAGTTGAATAGAATTCGACTCGAATTCTTCCGAAGAAACGGAAAAAAAAAACGAGAGAGAGGGAAGAAGAAAGGAAAGGAAAATTTTTCTTTTTGAGAAACGATGGTTCCTCTCGCGGAGAGATGATGATGATGATGATGATGATGATGATGAGTCTTTTTAAACGTCAATCATAGATTAGACGAAGCGGATGAGGCTCGATGTGGTTGGTTTGGCCTCTTCAGGATGGGCCCGAGGGTAAAGGGCACCTGGGCCCATGCACTACTCACAGCAGCCACTGTTAGGGATTTTCACCCTCGAACCCATGGAAGCTGCATTTCCACGTGCTGGAACACGTGGCCGTTTATCGGCATAGGTAAATCCTACCTACGATTGGCCACGCTCTGCTCGATTACATTTTTCTCATTCCCTTTTAAAGAGGAGGTTTTTCGTTAAGAGGAGATTTTTTTTTTTTCATTACGTTTAAATGAAGTGATATATTACGTTGCTCGTTATTGTGAGAAGAAAAGGAACGAGATAAGAGTTAAAGCCTTGAGTGAATGGATGCTCGGATTAATTTGAATTCAAACTCTTGGAGATTTAATCGTTTGAGAACGAAATAAAATTAATAAAATTAAGTTAAGATGAATGATAATACGTATAATGTTCGGTTTCTGTTAATATACAATTTTGTTTTGCATGTAGAATATATTCTTAAACTATCGAGAGATTGAAAATCGACAAAATACTTGTTCATAAAAGAGAAAGAAAATAGTTTTAAATTATTTTTATATGGAATTATTGATTTGAATAAATTTATTCAATTTTGACAAAATCGTTTTAAATTTTACTTTTTTTTTTAAAGAATTGTTAAAATAAAATTAGGAAGCTTGAAAAATGATATGATATTTTCATTAAATAGAATAAAATAAAAACTACTGAAATGTAATACAAATATAGATTAAACATTATCAGATGTTGATTTAGGTCTACAAATATCCAACGCGTGCTTGCAATAACAATAAATCAATCCTCAGGCAAGTCTAAGCTTAACCCAATTTCATGTAACCTAATCTAACAATGTTTAAAATCAATAATTTTTTCGCACATTGGATATTTTTCGATACATTCACAATACTCTCGAATCGTGCAAAAATCAAAATAGATAAAAAAATTGATCTTATTTCACAATAAAAAAATATGAATAAAACTATAAAATTTTTCCAATTGATAATAAATCACTTAATCATCTTCTGAACAATCTACTGAAAATTTATATCTTTCGTAAGAAAAAAAAAATCTACTTAACATCGAAATAACATCAATCCGTGGACGCATCGACACGTTTACACGCAACTTCATGTAGAAGTTAATCGAAATCGCGAACAAGGAATACCTGAGGGGTTGCCTGAAGCGAGATCTAAACGAGTTACGCTCGTTTCTATCCCCTTATCAGGATCGCGATAAATGCTCGTAATAAGTTCTTATCATCAATCATTTTGACAGCCTGATAACTCACTCCCATTCACAGATACACGTCGCGTTTCCCGCGTCTTTTGTCGATCGTTGAACGTTCCTCGACTCGTTTCGCACGCGAACGAGAATCTCTAAAAAAATCTCTCGATAAAGCGAATTATGTCGAGGAGATCGAAGAAAAAATAAAAATCTCGTTTCAACTGTGATTAACTCGCGCGCCACGTGGTCGATAAACGAAACGTGATCGAAGGAGGCAGGCCTTCTTCCTGTGGCTTCGTGTCCCGCTCAAAAGTCGACCACGGTTCCACGATTCGGCCGTGGAATGCACGGCTCCATTCATTCGAACCGGTTATTTCTAGAAAAGAGGAGGCTGAATGAAAATCTGTCAACCCACGTGGCGAAACCCGCGTGGCCAATGACCGCTTTCGACCACGGTCGTTCCACTCACCTCGCCTTCCACCCAAACCGAATGAATCGATGACTAAATCGCTAAACTCGCGTGAAATTCACGGATAAGATGTTCTCGTAACGGAATAATCTAGTGTTGGATGAGACGTTTTTCAATTGAGGATAATTTGAAGCTAGATTCGAGTTCGTGATTGGATTTATTTTTTCTCGTGACAATATATATTTTTGTACTTCTTTCCTGCATTTTGTTAAACGAAGAGGAAAAGATACTATTTAATGAAATAATAATTCTTTATAACGATGATTTTACTTTGAAACCATTTATCTATACTTTTTAAGTCTTCACAGATTTTCCGCTAAAATTTAAAATTATTTTAAAGGAATCTGTTTCTAATAATTTTTTCATCGAATAAAAAAAACTTGTGTCAATTTAATTTAATCGTAATTTCGTTAATTAATCATAAAAAAATAAATTTGGTTATATAAGATTGTAAAAGTTAATTATAATTAATCGATTCCCGCGCTTTTTCGCAACCAATCACACGTGTTTCCACCATCTAAGACAATTCCCCGTGTGGGGAAAACTGGGATAGAGGGGACAGAAGAGAGAGAGAGAGAGAGAGAGAGAGAGAGAGAGAGAGAGAGAGAGAGAGAGAGAGAGAGAGAGAGAGAGAGAGAGAGATAGTATCTATTCTTCCGTTACGCTGTCTTGAATTTATATATGCGGTGCATAAATAATCCTTGTATTGCGAGATAAGGATCTATGATCGTTGTTTACGAGCATTACCGTCGTAATTCGTTTTCAGCTAACAGGATTCATTTCTAATCTCGTTGCCCTTTTTCCATCGGCTCCTTCGTGATCGTCCCGTAGTCACGAAGGAAGAATCGATGCCTCGAACTAGCGATGTTTCGACGACTAGCTAGCGAATAGGACACACGACGCCTGACCTGAATTCCACTATAGCGCATGATAGACGAACAATTGCGTAACATACGCGTGCTTCGTGTGGACTCGCCTTTTCGCGCTTCGCGTTGGTCCTTGGAGGGAGAAAAAAAGGACCGAACGCGCGTACGCCAAAAATTTCTTGCTTATATAATTTCTTGTTGTCTTGATCGTGCGGTATGCACGAACTGACTATCGCGTTGTCATGGACCAACGGAACGATTCGTGTGCTGATGGATCATTTATAGTTCGTTATTTGTTGCGCATCTTAGTAAGAGAGATGATTAAACTCGAAGGTCGTTCGAGATTGAACCGAAAACTCGTTTAAATCGTGACGGTGTAAAAAACGAGACGTAAGATTTAAGATTAATTTAATCGTCAGTTTGAAATCGTAAGAGACAAGTAAGACGGGGAAAAAAGTCATGGTATTTCTAATGTTCTACTTTCCAAGCGTTTGATATTTGTATTGGATAAAAGCGCGCGAATGAGGTTTCCACCTCTATGTACCGGCCAGATAGTGGAGATTGAATCGAAAAGTAAAGGGAATTAGTTTTCTTTTCGGTCGATCGCGATAAAATTAAAATAAATTCGTACGATTAAGAAAAATCATCTACATGCGCTTATGTATGCCTCCGTAAAGGTTTATCGCGCGTCTGCCATCTCTCTAAGAGTTGCCTTGAGGATCCAAGGACTTCAATTGAAACGATACACGTTGTTATATTGTACATGTACGGGAGTATATACCGGTTCGCGAGAGCTCGTTTCGCGGTAATCGACAATTGAATCGACATACGGTTCGGTTGATAAAGAGCGGGAAACTCACTCTGCGTCTTGTTGTGGATCACGCAGCGATCGTATCGCGTTCTCCTTTATATTATCCCAATAGGATTTTCTTCGTCGAACTCTCACGTTGCTGCTACAACTTTTTGTCACGCACAGAGAGAGGCACACAGAGAGACAGACACTGAATCACTAAAAAATTGTTTTCTGTTAAAACACGCGATATTGTTACAGGAATTTCAATCTCGAGGAAACACTGCGCGAAACTTCAGCGGAGGCGTACTTATCGCGTGTAATCGCGCGGCTCGGCTTCCCGGCGAATGCTTCTCGCTCGTGAAACAACCGTGAACACACCGAGGAACATGCACGACACACTGGGAACCGATAGACAGAGAGAGAAAGACAGAGCGATAAAAGGGAAGGGAGAAAAAGAAGGAGAGAGAGAGAGAGAAAGAGAGAGAGAGAGCCTCGTGTGCGATCTTCCGAACGGAGCTCTCACCGTGCACTGACTGCTCCGCTCCGCTTGCTCGCTACCGTCAATAAGATCGATCGAGTCCACTACTCGCGAGAGATCACACTAGACGCGCAGCGATCCGCCGAAAAACTCCCGTGGGACGCTTCTCCGCCCTCTGCAGCCCTCCTCGCCTATTCTCCCTCCCTGCTGTCCCTCGCTCCTTCTCACTCGCGCTCCTCCCCCCTTTACTGCCCTCCCCTCCTCTTCCCGCCGTTCTCTAGCTTCTTCTCCCCCGCCTCCTCCGCCACCACCCTCCCACTCTACCCCCTTCAGCGTCAGTGCACTGCTCTGTGTGCTTTGAACGTGTATGCGCAGTCTGTGTGTAGACATTTATACATATAAAGTAGTATACTCTCCCTCCCCCCCTTACTCCCCTTTCCCCTTGTCAGTCTATCCTTTTCTCGTTCTCGTATCGCTTTCCTTCTCCTTTTCAGAGCATTCTCTTTCTCCCTTCCCCTCTTTGTTTAACGCGAGAGGTTATCCCTGTCCCTCTTATCGTGGACGCGCTATCACGAATTCCGGCGGCCAGCGACACTGGCTACGTGAACTCGACACTGGTCCCGCGGTGTCATAACACTGGTAACAGCCTGTCGTGGGCTATTAAAAGCGCGTACAACGTTGGGGGCAGTTATCATGAGCGTGATGCGCGGACCGTTTGCACACGCCACACCCCGGAACCACGAGGAGGAAAGACGGAAGGAAAGAGCGTCGCGATGACAAGAGTTGATCTTCGTGAAGTTTTGAAGGGCGGGACGCGACTCTATTTCATGAAAACTGATTTCTGTTGAGTTTTCTGTTGATTTTAAAGTGTCGCGTTTTTTCATGATATTTTTTTTTCGTTTTTTTAATTTAGAAGAAGAGGTAAAAGAAAAAAGTGTCGTCGATCGATTCTATTTTAGGATTTTTGTTCATTTTCTTATTTATCTTTTTTCATTTCTTTCACATTCAATGTTATTTTCATTTGTAATATCTTTTTGTGAAAGTTAAACAAATGGGCCAAAGAAGTCGATTTGGTTAGGTTCATTGGCTCGTACTGTCGTTCAAAGTCAGGCCAACAGCGCGTCAAGTGCGCGCCTCTGAGCTGCAACTCGTCACACGTCGCTCGGAACCGTTCGTGCCTTTCCGTGTCGCTCCGCTTTCGCGCTTCCCTCACCATTTGTTCCTCTCTCGCTCCCTCTTTGTCTCTTCTCTCCCTTTATTTCTTGTTCACTGTTCAACTTCTATCTCCGTCCCTTTTTCTGATTCATTCCCTCTGGTTTTCTTTCCCGATCTCTTCCTTCTCTTTCTCTTCCTATTTCCATTTCTGCCCCCTTCTGGTCATCGCTGTTTTCCTTCGTTTTTGTTTCGTTTTATCTTCGTTTCATATCCTCCTTTTCCCTCTGAAAGGCTGAGAGAGTCTCCTACGCGTTTCTGTACTTCTCTCTCCCTTCCTCCCACTTTTCTCGTTTCCCCCTTCTTGCTGCTTCGCTCCCCCTGCTGGGTTCCCATACGGAATCCCACCAATCGTACTCCAACATTGAGAGAACTCCAGCGATGGAAACGATATTCTTGCAAACTGTGTATGTATCGATATATATTTCTGCGAGAAATCTTTAGTTTTTTTTCATGAAAGTACTAAAGTATTTATTTTTTCTCTTTCTAAGGAAATAATCAATGGAGAAAATATTGCAAAAAACAAATGGAAATTTAAAAAAAATTGTACCTTTAAGTTAGCAAATATTGGGAGAATTAATTAATAATGATTATTATATGAGCGTGCATTCATCACAATTTACAATGTGACGACTGAATGCCTTAGAAGATTACATCATAAATAGAACTTAAGTACTACACTATTACTTAACTATATCCCTACTTGGTACACCACTTATTAAACTAAATATGAATGTATTCACGAGGAAATGAATAATCATTTAATGTATACTAGTTCTTGTTTATATTTTTTAAATATTTTTATATATTATATATGAGTAAAATTTATATAATTAATTCCGCATTTCTCTTTCACATTTTTAATATTTTACATAATTTCTATCATGTGTTTTTTATTCAATAACTTTCATATTTTTGTACATATTTTATTCTTTGTTAGTTTAGTTTTTTAATTTCTATTTTTTTTTAATATATATAAAAATAAATATTTCGTCCATCCAATGAAATTAATTCCATTACAAATCTATTCTTTCATCTCTACTTATCACTTTTATTTCTTTCGATTCTATCTCTACTAGAATCATGTAATCTCTTGAATCCGTGATATTGCTCATTTCCTCACCTATATAGTCATCATTAAGTGGAATAATGCGAAAATTCTTTCTCCTCCCTGTCCTGTTACAATCTTTCTCTGTCTTTGTCATTGGCATTGTCGTCACTGCCATGAGGACCACCAGCAGGTCGCCATAGCAATGTTCAAAAGTCACCACTTTGGATTCTAATTCTTTTCGTTTTATTATCTTATATTATCTTTCAACATTAAGATCTTTAGTAAATACAAAATAACTAGTGATTAATGCACACAGGAGATGATTTTTGATATAAATATCACTGTAAAAATGTAAGAAAAGATAAAAAATTTTTGTTTGAAAATTTGTTTTCGAATAAATTTGATCAATTTATTATTGGAGTAAATTATTTATAAAGAGATTAATATGAAATAAGTGAAATTTTTTTTTTAAAAAAAAAATATCATTTTTTCATTTTAAATTTATAGAAAAATTATATTTATAAGAAAAAAAACTTAATTCTATACTTTTTATTTTTTGCAAGTAAAATAACCTTCTACAATGGAATCACTTGTATTCAATCGGAAATTAATCAAATTCTCTTTAATTAATTTGATAAGTAACATCAAAATTCAATTTTCTCAAAACGAAATCTCGAATGAAAAAATTTTACTCTTTCTCGTCTTAATTTTTACGCGTGAAATCATCTCCTGCTCAATTGTATCATCATCAATTATCGTACAGAGAGAATATATCGAAAAATTTCGTAAATATTTTCGCCTATAAAATTGAAAGAAGATTTGTAAATTTTTGATCATAAATATTTCAAATATTATTAAAAATACGTATAACTATTGGTATTTCAAAAAGAAAAAAGTAAAATTGGACCACAGTTAACTTATCAACGCGGCCATTGGCCGCCTCGCGAGCAAATAAAAAACGATTGGGGCAAGAGACCTCTCCCTTTCACGACATCGATATTTTAATTGTTCCAGCTCGTCAAGGCGACTCGCTTGCATCAGCGATCGTGTGGCATAACACTCAATTAACTGTATATATAACTTTCCTTCGTTCCCCTTTTATGCTTCATCGATTCACGTTGCGATTTCCTGACGCTCTATTGATCCCTTCAACCACGTTTTCTCGCCCATTTTCACAAAA